GTTGTCATTGAAACCTGAGACAGCTCAAGTGTCTGGCTGCAGGCTGGGTTGTTGGAATCGGAATCCCACCAAAAGTAAAGGAATTCTCTTTACTATGAAAACCAGGAAAAGGACCAAATACAAAGCACGAATTAATATCAAGTTATTATAAATTTTCGGAATACCGAATGCAGATATTGCAGAATTAGAGTATTGACAGTCCACTCAGTAATGACACCAGGTGGAGCATTCATTTATGTAATTTTAATGCCCGAATGAAGTCCGCAAGTTACAGTTTGTGGCAATCAACGTCGTGGAATCTGATTTAATTTCTGTAAATTCCGGGTTAAAATCTCGGACCAGATAAAGGCCATTCTGAGATATTCTGCAATTTCTCTCGGCACCTCCACGCAAGCGATGGGTAATCCCACAAGTTGCACAGCACGGGGTCTTCTTTCACCAGTTAATTGAATTAAACCGGCCAATAAATTCTGCTTTTGTAAAACAAGTAGGTTCATCACCGTGTTCACAAAAGCAGGCGATTCCTTCCACCGATGTATCATTCACAAACACTGGAGTACAACTGTTACAGCTTCTTTCTTCCACAAAAATCAGTCGTGACTTAATTTCAAAAGAAGCCGAAAGGTGTGAGCTTCCCCAGTATCCTCTAATTCGTCTGTCCTGATAAACATTCACCTGCTTGTAGGATGTCCATTAAGGAATGCACTCCCCAAATTTGGAATACTGTGGTGATGGTTATAACATTTAACTGTGACAGGTAATTAATACCATTTTCTAAGTTAAACAGATCAAGATAAATGTGTCTATATGTCACTCTTACATTTTGGTTTTTATTACACCGCTGTATATGAACAAGTATGGAGGCTGCTTCCATTATAAATTATATACAAAGTAATTTTATCGAGGAATATAATGTTGGCACACAGAAGTAATAGTAGTAATAATAAAAATAATAACAATATAAAATTAATATGATTTCTCAACTTGATACAGTCTTTCTTTACCCTTGCTTCTGGTAAAATGCATGGATGACCACAGCATCTCCTGCGTAGTAAACTTTATCTAAAAATATATCAGTTCCTTTCGGACGGAAGAGGATAGACTTCAGGGAGGAAACGAGGAGGAATTGAAGAAAAACAAAGCATAAATTACTTTCCCCAAAAAACACTATAGAATGGTTGGAGCTTGTAGCCTGCAATCCTCTGTTATTATAAAAAGTTGAGACCACTGCAAAATACAAACAACTGTTAGTTTTGTTTATGGGCGTTGTATTTGAGGCTTGGCCACAGTTTCAGAATGGCTATCGTCCAGTGCAAACGACTATTGTCCGTTCCAACTCACGAGCTCTGATACAAGAACGAGCCAAGACCTTAAAGTTTAATTGTCCAACTCCATGGTGCAGGGTCTTGCTTTACAAGCTTACAGTTGCTCAGAGAGAGAAATTTCCAGAGAAACCAGTGGCTGCATTCACGCGCCTACAGATGCTGTTATCATAACCACTCCTGAGACAGTTCAATACAGTCTCCATCTTCATGCCTAGTTTGTCTAAAACTAGTTTTAATATTATACTCACGTTTACCTCCATATATCCAAGGTGGTCTCTTGAGATTTTCCGGCAGTAATTTTGTAGGCATTTAAAATTGTCTATATGCGTGCTACATTTCCTACGCATCTCAAACCAGATTAATCATCCTAACAGCATTAGGTGAAAAATTCTAATTAAGAAGTTGCTCGTAATGAAAATTTATGCATTTTGTTACTTTTTTTCTTTCTTGTGCCCATATATTCTAGGTTTTTATATGTTAACGTAGGTCTAATAAAAGTCTTCTGTCCTTTCTGCACGACAATGTATTGTGGCTATACTGCGTCGTTAACACACGCAAAGAATTAAAGATATCTTGTCTAGCCAGACACTTTACAGGCACAAAACAATACAATAGATTCATAAGTGAATTTCTCCTAAACAAACGAACACGATGGTGAAAGTGCAATGTAGTGTAGTCTGTATGGCGTCCGTACAGAACGGCTGCTACACTGGTAGCTAAAAATCCTAGGGCTAGTACAAAACAACACGGAACTGAAAAAATACTAAATCTGGAATTTAATTTTCAAAATAATGTTTAAAATCAAACCTGATTTAAACGGGTGCCTCTACTAATCGGACCACTTGTATGATCAAATACAGTATTAAAATAAACCCATGAGTTCAAATTCAAGCACCCATCGATAAATAAAAAAAAACAGTAAACGTTCTCCCCGACTGAAGGTAAACTATTACGAAACTTCTACAGAGCTCCAATTTCAATAAAGTATTTGATCAAAATTTTGAAGGTACAAAGCTTGTTAGGATAAATATTCAGATACATTATTCTCACGTAGCAGATTTTGGAGTGGGTGTTCCTGAACTGACAAGGATGCTCGAGTTGAAATTGGCTTCAACAGCTGTTGGTAAATCACCATACACGTAATTAGAATGAGGATCACTGAAGGCCACAAAGCTTCCAGATTTCTCGGTGTTTTCTCCACCGTCTGAAACACGATTTCCATTATCTACTGGCAAATTACTGTTAACACTTGTTGAATTTGATGGTATTGTAACATCTGGTGTGGACTCTTTCGGTCTGAAGTACAGTGCTATCTTATTATTCTTCAATGAAAAAGATAGTGAACGAGAGGCATCATGCCTTTCTGGTTCTTGCGTGGAATTTACGATAGAATTCGTCTCTGATTCAGTTTCCGATGGAGGAGTGACTGAGACCTCTTTACTCGCTGAACCTTGCCCTTCCAGTTCTGGCGGGGAATGGTATTCAACGAGAGATCCTGCAGATGCATGCTGGAGGTCATCTGATGAATCGTACTGTGATGTTTGCTGAGAAGGTTGCTGTTCTATGGCAGCTAATATGTCCCGAAGAAGCCCATTCGAAAGCACCTCTTCGTGTGGAATGTTGTCAGCAGAGCCAGTACCACCGATACCTCCCGCTGGTTGAATCTGAAGAGTATACGTGCCTTGAGAACCTTGGATAGCAATATCTTGAACTCCGCTTTTAGTTCTCGGCTCTTCGTGACCTAGTGCAAAAGTCTGTTGTGTTTGAAATAAGTTGTCCAGACCCTGAGGCAGGCCATTGCTGATGAGCGCTTCCGCGACAGCATTTCCAGTTGCCGCGGAACCCGTGTGTGTCCCGCTGTTAGCATCAGACGGCGCTTGGTCATTTACTGAAGAAGTCTGTTGTGCTGTCTGATCAGGGGAACCATATGTGACTGAGGGAGCTGACGGAGCACCAAATAAGTTAGAAAGTGCTGATGGCTGGTAATTACCATTTGGTGCGCCATACGACTGGTATGGTGAAGGGACTCCATAATTCTGGGACGGCGCTGTGAGACTACTGCTTATACCCCCTCCTCCGCTTGAGTGAAACGGAGCGCCGTATGCTGACGAAGGCACAGACTGAGAACCAAACGAATTGGACGGAACAAAACTTGTTGCTCCACAATTGTGGCCTGACGTTGAATGAGACGTCGGGGCGCCATACGTATCAAGAGGAGCTCTCCCAAACAGCGCCACAGTCTGGGAGCCGCCAGCCGAATAACTTGACAAACTGCTTTGAGCAGGCGGTGGGGCCAGTCCATGATGAGAATAGGAGGATCCTGATCCGAAGGACACTAACGACGCCGCTTGTGGGGAACCATAGATGATCGGTGGTGAGACTGAATCGCCGTGAGCGTTGGCCGGGTCGGGAACAGGTGGAGGTAAATACGTGGGACCTTTCGGGCGACTGGTGCCAAAAGCGTTGTTATTGGCCACGGTCTCTCCGATTGACGTGATCAGTCCCGCCGGCACGGGATCTCGAAACTTCACTGGTTCCTTGGGAATGATCTTTGTGTGAGTGGAAGATATTCCAGGCACGGAAAGCTCAAAACCTGGACTTTTTGTTATGACCACTTCCACGTTCGATCCTGGAGGAGCACCATATTCCTTGCTCGGTGGGGCCCCGTAGTGTCCACTCGGTTGCTCTGGTGCACTATGGCCGATATTTGGTGCGGATGGTGGTGCTCCGTATTGATCGCTGGGCGGATGCAATCCTTCCCCGCTCGGAGGTGCCCCATAACTGGTGCTTGGTGCGGGTGGTGGTCCAAGACCTCCAACTGGAGGTGCTCCATAATCTCCAGAAGGTACCGGGTGATGCCCCACAGATCCTTCGCCTGATGGCAGGCCATATGAACTACTCGGAGCTGGAGGTCCTACAAAGCCTGGTGCTCCATAGGAGCTGCTTGGGGTACCATAAGAGGTGCTAGGTGGCCGTAGTTGTGGACGTGGCGGAGGTCCGTATTCACCACTCGGTGGTCCTCCAGATGGGGCACCGTACGAGTTGCTTGGTGGAGGTCCGTATTGATCACTTGGTGGGGCACCAAATGAACCACTTGGAGGAGGCGGTGGAGGACCGTATTCCTCACGCGGGTGGCCGGGCGCCGCGTCTCCACTGGGTGGTGGGCCGTAAGAATCACTTGGAGACTTGGAAACCAGGCCGGGTATTGGCTGCCACCCGTCGTATTTGATTTCTGGAGGCGTTGGTGGAGCCCCGACCGCTGGCGGTAGCCCATATGAATCACTGGGCGCAGGAGGTGCACCATACAAAGAGGAGGGTGGAGGGCCATACGAGGTCGAGGGTAATTTTGGAGGACCATAGACAGGCTTTGGTTTGGGTGGCGGACCGTAGACAGGTTTGGGTGGCGGGCCGTAAACAGGTTTGGGCGGGGGACCGTACACCGGCTTGGGGGGTGGGCCGTAGATAGGTTTCGGTGGCGGGCCATATACAGGTTTGGGTGGCGGACCATATACAGGTTTTGGCGGTGGACCGTACACCGGCTTGGGGGGTGGGCCGTAGATAGGTTTCGGTGGCGGGCCATATACAGGTTTGGGTGGCGGACCATATACAGGTTTTGGCGGTGGACCGTACACCGGCTTGGGGGGTGGGCCGTAGATAGGTTTCGGTGGCGGGCCATATACAGGTTTGGGTGGCGGACCATATACAGGTTTTGGCGGTGGACCGTACACCGGCTTGGGGGGTGGGCCGTAGATAGGTTTCGGTGGCGGGCCATATACAGGTTTGGGTGGCGGACCATATACAGGTTTTGGCGGTGGACCGTACACCGGCTTGGGGGGTGGGCCGTAGATAGGTTTCGGTGGCGGGCCATATACAGGTTTGGGTGGCGGACCATATACAGGTTTTGGCGGTGGACCGTACACCGGCTTGGGGGGTGGGCCGTAGATAGGTTTCGGTGGCGGGCCATATACAGGTTTGGGTGGCGGACCATATACAGGTTTTGGCGGTGGACCGTACACCGGCTTGGGGGGTGGGCCGTAGATAGGTTTCGGTGGCGGGCCATATACAGGTTTGGGTGGCGGACCATATACAGGTTTTGGCGGTGGACCGTACACCGGCTTGGGGGGTGGGCCGTAGATAGGTTTCGGTGGCGGGCCATATACAGGTTTGGGTGGCGGACCATATACAGGTTTTGGCGGTGGACCGTACACCGGCTTGGGGGGTGGGCCGTAGATAGGTTTCGGTGGCGGGCCATATACAGGTTTGGGTGGCGGACCATATACAGGTTTTGGCGGTGGACCGTACACCGGCTTGGGGGGTGGGCCGTAGATAGGTTTCGGTGGCGGGCCATATACAGGTTTGGGTGGCGGACCATATACAGGTTTTGGCGGTGGACCGTACACCGGCTTGGGGGGTGGGCCGTAGATAGGTTTCGGTGGCGGGCCATATACAGGTTTGGGTGGCGGACCATATACAGGTTTTGGCGGTGGACCGTACACCGGCTTGGGGGGTGGGCCGTAGATAGGTTTCGGTGGCGGGCCATATACAGGTTTGGGTGGCGGACCATATACAGGTTTTGGCGGTGGACCGTACACCGGCTTGGGGGGTGGGCCGTAGATAGGTTTCGGTGGCGGGCCATATACAGGTTTGGGTGGCGGACCATATACAGGTTTTGGCGGTGGACCGTACACCGGCTTGGGGGGTGGGCCGTAGATAGGTTTCGGTGGCGGGCCATATACAGGTTTGGGTGGCGGACCATATACAGGTTTTGGCGGTGGACCGTACACCGGCTTGGGGGGTGGGCCGTAGATAGGTTTCGGTGGCGGGCCATATACAGGTTTGGGTGGCGGACCATATACAGGTTTTGGCGGTGGACCGTACACCGGCTTGGGGGGTGGGCCGTAGATAGGTTTCGGTGGCGGGCCATATACAGGTTTGGGTGGCGGACCATATACAGGTTTTGGCGGTGGACCGTACACCGGCTTGGGGGGTGGGCCGTAGATAGGTTTCGGTGGCGGGCCATATACAGGTTTGGGTGGCGGACCATATACAGGTTTTGGCGGTGGACCGTACACCGGCTTGGGGGGTGGGCCGTAGATAGGTTTCGGTGGCGGGCCATATACAGGTTTGGGTGGCGGACCATATACAGGTTTTGGCGGTGGACCGTACACCGGCTTGGGGGGTGGGCCGTAGATAGGTTTCGGTGGCGGGCCATATACAGGTTTGGGTGGCGGACCATATACAGGTTTTGGCGGTGGACCGTACACCGGCTTGGGGGGTGGGCCGTAGATAGGTTTCGGTGGCGGGCCATATACAGGTTTGGGTGGCGGACCATATACAGGTTTTGGCGGTGGACCGTACACCGGCTTGGGGGGTGGGCCGTAGATAGGTTTCGGTGGCGGGCCATATACAGGTTTGGGTGGCGGACCATATACAGGTTTTGGCGGTGGACCGTACACCGGCTTGGGGGGTGGGCCGTAGATAGGTTTCGGTGGCGGGCCATATACAGGTTTGGGTGGCGGACCATATACAGGTTTTGGCGGTGGACCGTACACCGGCTTGGGGGGTGGGCCGTATGAGGGTTTTGGTGGGCCATATATTGGTTTTGGGCCTTTTAAAGAATTGAAAGAATGCGATTCAAGAGACGACTGGAAATTACTTGGTGGGCCATAAACTGATTTTGGTGGTCTTGGGGGTCCATACGAACTGGACGGAGGAGGGCCATACAATGGCTTTGGTGGTCCATAAGAAGGTCTCGGCGGTGAAAAACTTCCTCCACCAATAGGAGGTCCGTATGATGACGACGGTCTTCCAACGGAAGGTTTGGAGGATCCAAACAATTCTGGAGGAGGTTGGGGAGGATCCGGTGGAGGTGGAACATGGATCACTTCAGGGCGGTCTTTACCTCCGCCGCCACCAGCAGAGCCAAATTTCGGCGGCCCGTATGAGTTACTGGGAGCTCCTTGTGGAGGACCATAGACTGCTTTAAGTTTTGGAGGTCCATAAGATTGAGATGGGGGAGGTCCATACGATTGTGAAGGCGGAGGTCCATATGATTGAGAAGGGGGAGGTCCATATGATTGAGAAGGCGGAGGTCCATACGATTGAGAAGGGGGAGGTCCATATGATTGAGAAGGGGGAGGTCCATATGATTTAGAAGGGTGACCATTGGAATGAGGCAGTGGAGGTCCATAAGACTGAGAGGGAGGACCATATGAATCCGAAGGAGCTGAGAACCCACAAGGTTCAGTGTGTACACCTCCACTATTCCCACCACCACCACCACCACCCCCGTGCAAATGCGGAGGTGGTATAAGATCCCCTGAACTGGCACCACTTCCACTTCCGTGGTAACTGCCCTCGCGACGAGTGCCTTCGTCTTCAGACGAAGACGACGCCTCGGCGGCGGTCACGTGACGAGGGGCGAGTAGCAGACTGCATAATGCCACCACTAGCCCAGCTGCCACCTGCAAGCAAGAGTATCGGGTTTGAATACAAGCACATAGAAACGTACTTGCTGCACCTCTGAACCTACTTTTAACATGATACGTTCTTTAAACAAAGTTTACGAACTGCACTAATTACAAGATCGTGCCAGTCTGTCTCTCTGAAACCAATTAATGTATTGCGACAAAATATTTAATTAAACAGTTCTAGGCTCAAAGCTGAACAGCGAGTATAATTTTCTTTCGCACTGTTACAATATAAGACCCAGGTCACATATGGGACTTGAGGTTTTCAAGGCACTGAAAATCCGGACTGTCTTCTGCTGGGTCGTGACGTCATGTATACATCAGAGGAATGTGGAGTTCCTAAAGATGGAGATAGAAGGTTCCTCAGAAACACTGGTAACCACCTACTGTACTACACAAAGTTGCAACACAAAAGACAGCAATCTTCAGCTGCATGAAAATCCGTCCAATCTGGAGTGGTTACATGCATAGCATTGGACAGACAAGGCAGCGACTTTAATACATGCAAAGACAGGATGCAAACGAACCTAAAAAGTCTCAGGGTTATGTTTCTCTATAGTTTACACGTGACATAGATTACTTCATAACGTCTCTAGAAACATAATACGTCAGCTGTTGATTAATTTTATCAACAACAAAATTTAATACCACGCAGTAAAGTAAATGCACACTTGAATGGCTGTCGAAACTCGTATGGATCCGCTATAAATGTCCATTAAGTGGAACGAAGGCTGCAATGTTGCAAACAAACGAACTGCAAGCTCTTGTGTCCTTGTCAGTGACGTGGTGTTTCGTGCATTCGGACCAGCAGAAAGTTTGCTAAAATGTCGAAACGCGCAATGTTGCGCGAGACATAAGTACTGTCATAGCTACTACCTCAAAACAAAAACAAATACCTAATCACGTCACTCTGACAACGGTTGGCCAACTTTGCTTAGCTTGTTTCTTTGTTTTCCTTCATATTTTATTTCCGATATATATTATTTATATGTTTTTTCTTCCATCCTTCCATCTTTGTCACGGCATTTCCTTCTTTATTCCTCTTGCTTTGTTATCTTTCTCTATTAACTCGTTTCTCCATTTCCTTCTCATTCATCGATTTGCGTATTTATGTGTTTTATTTTCCTTTCTTCCCGTTTCTTCTTAATTTTTGTGTTTACTAGAGCAGAGCGCTCCTTTCGGAGCTCCTCTGGGGGTTGGTCAAGTTTTTAAAACGCAACCAACCAACCCCTTCGGGGGGAGGGTTGGTTGCGTTTTAAAATCTTGAGTAAGAAACTAAACCAACCCCCCCAAATTGGGGGTTAAAACACTTGGTCAAGTGTTTAAAACGCAACCAACCCTCCCCCCTTTGCGGGGGTTGGTCGCGTTTTAAATCTTTAGTGTCTTACTCAAGTCATTTGTTTACTCGGCATTGTTGTGTTGGTACAACAATGCCGAGTAAACAAATATAACGTAACATTGTTTGATGACGTCATTTTTTGACGACAACGGGGAATCAGAAATTTTTATAGTAGAAGATTATCCTGACCCAGTGCCATTCACTTTGCATTCTCAAAACTAATTTCTCAAGGATTCATAAAACTAAACCACCTTCAGTCCGAGAGCACTCAAGTGCTGGGCAAGATGTGCAACCCCAAATCTAGGACCGAGAGACGCAGAAGGATGATCCTGTTCGATAAATAGGAAGTGAGATGGGGGGGAGGGGTGTTGCTTGTGGCAACTATTCTTTGTCCACCAAAGTGCTACCCTATGTAATTCGGCGCTACAAAACTTTTTTCGGATATGCAGCGTCGTAAAATAACTTTCCTGTTCAATCACGCTACATTCACGGCACACAAATTCGGCTACAGACTAATGTAACGCGATGTGAAAGAAAGCTTAAACACCGGTTAATCCCACATCAAGGCCATTGGCAGCTGCTCAGCTTCTGCACAATTGTACGGACTGATGGCGTGTGACATCATAGCCAAAAGGAAACGTTTCGGCTTGTACAGTCGCTGTTTCTCTCTCAGCCCCAATTCCTGTATCTAGGTTAATGCTTTAAGAACTGCCAGGAGCGTACCAATATACATAGCTACCCGCACACACCACATAATTATGGGTTGAAATATTACACCAAGTCGTAATTGACAATCTATAAATTATGCTGTTCTTCCGGGTGTTGTGCAGCGTAGACACGTCGCTGGATGCCAACGTTTCGGAGCTGAAGGTAGAGATAGTATGTTTCTCCGAAAAGTTGGCTTTTACCGATGAGTTTAAACGGCACCAAAACCCACTGCCGTGAAAACCAGAAATCTCACAATCCGGAAATAAATAATTGCAATTGTTATTCGTAGTAACCTTTAACATAGTCACAATAAAAAAACAAAGGTATTTGAAACACTGTAATGACCTCCAAACAATCAGTGTAAAAATTTAAAACTGTATTAAAACTGATCTACCTTTAGTCAGCGACCAACTTAATAGAGGATCATATTTTTTTCTAAACGTACCGCAATCCGATCACTGCCAAAACATTAAAATGAGTTCAAGAACAGATAAAAGAAACAAAGTCCATTCATTTTAATACATTTTTTTTTCGTCAATTTTAAATACAGGTTCACTTCAAAGTTTGTGTATGAGCGAGTACCATTAAGAGTCTTACACAAATTTGTCATATGGAATCGTGGCTACGAATGTTGAGATCGTAAGGGTTTTGAACGTGACGGTCGTGACTTGTTTCAAGGGTACTGCGTCGGAATTCGTCTACAAATAAAGAGAAAATACCTCTCCGTGGTTCTGTCAATGATGGATCGCAATCAGAAGGTTTATGCGTAACAATTCAGGTCCATAGTTCTTATTCGAATTTAATTTGCCAACGGTGTCCTTAATTCGACGTCATTACTTCTTCACAGAATTTCTTGTTCATTATGATAAGCATTTAAGAAAGTACAAGTAAACAACCTCTGGTCCATTTAGCTTTGAAAACGATCGGTTAGTAGCAATCAATACAATGAATGTAAGATTTGATGTCGGAGGCAGTATGACCTCTGAAACGTCGGTTAACATCGACCAGACTACACAGCGCAACAACCCAGAAGACAGGAATCTTCATACTAATTCATCGCTCTGATGACGGAGGCAGTATGACCTCGGAAACGTTGGTAAACATCGACCAGACTACACGGCGCAACAACCCAGGAGACAGAAATCTTCATACTAATTCATCGCCCTGATGACGGAGGCAGTATGACCTCGGAAACGTTGGTAAACATCGACCAGACTACACGGCGCAACAACCCAGGAGACAGAAATCTTCATACTAATTCATCGCCCTGATGACGGAGGCAGTATGACCTCGGAAACGTTGGTAAACATCGACCAGACTACACGGCGCAACAACCCAGGAGACAGAAATCTTCATACTAATTCATCGCCCTGATGACGGAGGCAGTATGACCTCGGAAACGTTGGTAAACATCGACCAGACTACACGGCGCAACAACCCAGGAGACAGAAATCTTCATACTAATTCATCGCCCTGATGACGGAGGCAGTATGACCTCGGAAACGTTGGTAAACATCGACCAGACTACACGGCGCAACAACCCAGGAGACAGAAATCTTCATACTAATTCATCGCCCTGATGACGGAGGCAGTATGACCTCGGAAACGTTGGTAAACATCGACCAGACTACACGGCGCAACAACCCAGAAGCCAGAAATCTTCATACTAAGAATGTACTACATCAGTGCCAATGGCGTACGAAAAATGGCCAAGACCGCATTTATGAGAATGCGTACGCAAAAGGCTTGCACATTTTCACTTAATTGTCATTATTATTATGCCGTAATTTATTCAGTAAAGTTCAACTGTGAACCCGTTTTCGTGCGAACTGGCAACAAGACCCAGTAAGAACAGAACCATGCCAGCTGCATGCTGCTCCTGACCTTGATGCAAATGGCACGTCGCTTACTTCGCCGTAGGAAATGCAAGCAAACCTTCTCCCACTGGTTACTATTCGAGATATGCAACTAGACAGACCAGCGAAATAAAATCTGTCTTTACCACGACGATGACGTTCTCAAAGCGGACACTTCACAGAACAGCACTGTATCGAAACGGTAAACATTTACCGTCGTTTAGGGACGAATTTGCTTCATTCTTCAGGATCAAAGTCGTGGCCGATGTTCTCCAACTAATTTGAAATAATGGTAAGCAGTTACTAACCTTGCTACTACAGTAATTATTATTTGGGACCAATTAGTTTACCGTCAATTCAGTAACCACTGTCTCTAACCGGTCGACTGAGCTTACAAATGTAAGAATCGAAATCGGTCAGGGATGGAGGACCAGTGAGGGTGAATCACAGGGGAAGGGGAGGGGAAAAACCGTGTCGTATCATGGTCTGATGACTATCTTACAACTTTAAGTTATGTGTGATGTGGAAATGAGATTAATCGCCCCAAATAATGACCCGCGACTCCGTGTTACTTCGCTTATTTTAAGTAGAGCGACGTATGAGCTATGTGCATTTTCAAATTTGTGGTGGGCCCGTGCAAAACCTCAGGCGGTCAGTCGCCGGCTTCTTGCCGCGAAGGCTCGGGTTACCGACCAGGTCAACCGCGGACTGCTGGATCATCGCGATGTCCATTCTGACCAATCACAACTCGTGACTGTCACGTCCCTGCAGGTCTCAAACGCGACGCCTACGTCAATTCCGCTCTGAAGAATGAAAATACGATCCTCCGAAACGTCGATAAGTTGTTACCATTTCGATGTGGTGCTATATATCCAGAAGAAAAAACTTACATTTCGTGTATTTACATCGGTTTGAGGCGATCCGCATTTTTGATGTTTAAATGAAGGCAATGGATGGACTTACGACGCTTCCACCATGACGGACGACACCGAACGCATTCCAAAACAGCCAAACAATTCAACAAGTGTCGGCGAGTCAGTCTCGTGTCTCCTGGCGAAAAGTGCTTATTATTTTCCAATGTGTTCACGTTC